AGTTCCTGGTAAGGTTTTCAGGTAGTCCACACTCGGCTGGCTCACAAAATCTTATATAAAGTATCTAGCCAACTGCCCGATTTTTTTGTAAGTCATTGGTGCGGCTTTACTCGTTTCTTGCCTAGGCTCTAGGGGCGGCTTCCATTGTAAGCTCTCGCCTTAGCCAGATGCAGTAGCACGCGGAAATTCATGTTGTTTCTGCGCTTTGCACTAGCATGTGCATACCGAAATACTGTAGTGTATGCCAACAAATGCACCATACTTATACCATTCTGAATGCTCCACACATCATCAAGATCCTCAATAACAGCACCTGCAACCACTATCATCAGCATTCCCACCACAATAGCAGTCCAGAAACACTTGGTGTCAAGAGGGCATTCCTCCACTTGTGTCGAACTGTGTTGATCGTTGTTTTCTCAGGTTCCCGCTCACCTTCTCCAAGCCGGATGGTAGGCACGCAACCCGATACAGCTACTGATGACTGAAGTCAGCCCAGATTATATATATATAATCTACTTAGAATGATTTCCCAAAAAATAGTGAATGGGATGCCCTTTCATAACCATTGCACCGACTTTTGTACTTCACAATTCACAATTGAATGATTCCCAAGAAAGTAAATCGGATACCTTTTTGTAACCTTGTACCGATTTTTGCACTTTACACAGCAAGACAGTGGAGGGTTTTGTTTTGATATGTTTTGACTGTGTTTTTCTTGCGTCAAAAACACAATGACCACAGGGCCACCCGGTGATGATCAGTTGTTGCTGCAGTCAGACAGCCATGAATCAAGACGTTTGCCCCCAGACCGCAGTGAAGGTGTTGATGGCTGCGTGTTTGGGTGGCCCTTCAAACCGCAGTCCCACTGGAGGATAAAAACCGTCCCACAGTCTCTGCAGGCATACCAACAGTGACCTCCGGCCTTTGGGCAGCATTGCCGTCGCGTGAATTCGCTGTGGGTCCAAACCTGGAGCCCAAACATCCTTTCTATAGGTTGACCTGGTAGGCCATTCTTTTCATTTTCGGTCAACCGAGATACCCGGGCTTTGACCCACAGCCATATGCGCCATCGGATCGATTCGGCGACAGGAAGTCGCAAGGTGAAGGGGCTTCCTTTTCGGCCATATCGCGGGCGGCCTGGCCGCTGGTTACAAAGGAGTTGATTTGCTTAGCTTCCCTTGGAGGGCAAGGGGGGAGGAACTTTGTCAGGCTGCATTTGATCAGTCGACCCACGATCCAAAGTCAGATGTTTGTGGATTAGGGAAATGCCCCAAATGTGCCACTTGGTCAAATACGGCTGACCCATGTTTGCGGACCTTCGAGACGATGGCATCTTGGTGTGACCTTCCAGATGTTCCACCTTTTCTGACTGGTGCTTAGTAGCCCAATAGAGATTCCTTTGGATCCATTCTCTCATTCCCTACTAAGCGCCAGTCAGTTTTTCATTTTTTTCCAAAACCCAATGCCCAAAACCTGGTCTATGGCCTCCAACCTAATAGCAAAAGGAACCTAATGGCGATGGCCTCCAACCTATTGGCGATGGACTCCGACCCAAAACCTGGGTTCGAACCCAGCAAAAAGATCCTCTCAGACGTCCGCGGACTGGAGATCCACAAGCTTGCAGAAAGGCACTGGACTGCAATCATCTAGGGGGTTCCAAGTTTTGCGTTTAAGGTTACAGTGGTACTCATTTGCATCTGAGACAGGGTTTGGATGGGCTTGGGGTGCTGCATTTTGACATTTGATCGTGAAGGACATTGTAAAATGATCCGCTGGTTACATGTTTAACCTGTGCACTGTCGTCTACCCCCCACGGATGTTCAATGCAGTGAGTGTGGCATGCTGGACATTTCCTCTGAAATACACACATCCAACAACCCCTGCAAGCAGTCCTGCAAGCTTGTGCTTCTTCTTCGCCCCTCTACAAGGTCCCCCTGCCTTGTGAGCCCTGTCCTTCTACAGGTCCACGCTGGCTTGAGTCCGGCTCACCCCTCCGGCGCCCGTGAGAGTCGCTTGAGAATTCGGAGCCAACCAGCCTTTCAGAAGTCTCTATGAAAACCCCATCGAAAATATTAGCACTAGGTTGGAGGCCATCGCTATTAATTAGTATGGAGGCCATCGCTATTAGGTTGGAGGCCATCGCTATTAATTAGTATGGAGGCCATCGCTATTAGGTTGGAGGCCATCG